TCCACTTCAGTCTTACTGATCCACTCTACTGAATCAGTTCACTCTACTGATCCACTTCAGTCTACTGATTCAGTTCACTCTACTGATCCACTTCAGTCTTACTGATCCACTCTACTGAATCAGTTCACTCTACTGATCCACTTCAGTCTACTGATTCAGTTCACTCTACTGAATCACTCTACTGATCCAGTTCACTCTACTGATCCAGTTCACTTTACGGATCCACTTCAGTCTACTGATCCAGTTCACTCTACGGATCCACTTCAGTCTATTGATTCAGTTCACTCTACTGAATCACTTTACTGATCCAGTTCACTCTACTGATCCACTCTACTGAATCAGTTAACTCTGCTGATCCACTTCAGTCTACTGATTCAGTTCACTCTACTGATCCACTTCAGTCTACTGATCCACTCTACTGAATCAGTTCACTCTACTGATCCACTTCAGTCTACTGATTCACTTCACTCTACTGAATCACTTTACTGATCCAGTTCACTCTACTGATCCACTTCAGTCTACTGATCCACTCTTCTGAATCAGTTCACTCTACTGATCCACTTCAGTCTACTGATTCAGTTCACTCTACTGAATCACTTTACTGATCCAGTTCACTCTACTGATCCACTTCAGTCTACTGATCCACTCTACTGATCCAGTTCACTTTACGGATCCACTTCAGTCTACTGATCCACTTTGCTGATCGAGTTCACTCTACTGATCCACTTTACTGAGCCACTTCAGTCTACTGATCCAGTTCAGTCTACTGATCCAGTTCAGAAATGTAATTGCATTTGATCAGTTCTTTTCCTCAGTTCTTTTCTTTTCACTAATGAGTTCTGGGAATCCACTCGTTCCAAGTCTTGACCACCTTCGGTCTTAAGGGATCATTTTAAGGGTCCCTAGTGTGCTGAGCGTCCATGTCCTCTGTCCTTAGTTTCTTTAGTGTCCATTAATCTATCTCCAGTGTCTTTAGTGTCCATGTCCAGCCTGGGATGAAGCTTGTCCTTCTGTCTGTCCTCCAGGTGGTCACACTACAGAGATCCTGCGGCTGATGGACAGCCTGTCCTCTGTCTACACGCCTCGGCATTACGTCATCGCTGACACCGATAGGATGAGTGAGGACAAAATAGTGTCCTTTGAGAGCTCCAGAGGACGTGCCCCGTCTGACCTCCAGGTACATGCCTCCCATCCTGTCCACATCACATCAGGACATTCTGGTTTAGACCAGATCCATGCAAACAGAACCAGAACAGCAAGTCAGGCACCCCAACAGATCCACAGCTCATCAGTGTCCACCTGTCCTCTAGAGATGGTCCTGTCCAACAAACTCAACCGAGTTTGTAATCAAGTTCCGCTGGAGTTCAGTCAGAAGACGGTAAAGACAGTTCTGACCCTGCTTTGTCCTTCAGAGGAGCTCCAGCGGATAATTCTGCAGGGTTCAGCACTGCTTCTACCGCTAACGGAGTCTGTAAGGCTAGCAGCTGCAGGGACGAGCAGCGAGGACACCTAGAGCCAGTTAGCTCCCGCAATGCTAAATACAAAAACAGCAGCCATTGTATTTCCTGTCTGTCACCTAATGTCAGAACCTCTGGCTGTAGCTCCGTCCAAAGCGCCTGGGACTCTATCCCAGACACCGTGCAGGACGCTAGTTTGTAGCTCTGAGCGACGGTCTGTTGGTTTGCACCCGAAACCAAAACATGCAGCGCTGCGGCCAGTCTTTGGGGAACACTCACGGGGGAACTGTGTGGCTTCCGGCGTTAGATGAAGGGTTGTGGATGGCGAACAAACTCATTAAACCGACACACAGACCCACAATCCTAGCCAGTTCCTGGTTGTCCTTGTTGTGTTGTGGCGTGGAATAACAGCGCAGACCATGCTTTAAGAGTCTGGGCATCAATCAAAAATATCTGCGTCATTCCTGCAACAAGCTAACTGCCACACACTGCTGCAGGAGGATAACCAGTCCTTACTGCTGCTTCTGGGTTCATCAAAGGGTAAAAAGTGAGAGAAGGTCTCAGAGAATGGATCACGATCAGAACACAGCAGACAACATCTCTGCTATCGACTTGTTGGTCTGAGCTGCTTAACTTGGAACAGAACAGACAGGTTTAATCTAGAACCTCTTCTGTGGTAGAACCTCATTGCTTCTGCCAAAGATCCTCACTGTTCTATCACAGAGCCTCACCGTTCTCCCGTAGAACCTCCCCGTTCTCCCGTTGAACCTCCCCGTTC